GCCAGAGGGTTTGTGCACTGCCTGGGAAGGAGGGTGGAAGGGGAGGGGGAAGAGAAAGAGAGAAGAAGAAAGCACCCCCTAGTGGGTCACCCTGCAATTCCTTCTCTTCCATTTCTGCACTTTCAGGGTACGCATGAGTGCCCAGCATGTTTTTTAAGCCACTGGGACTGGTACTCAAACCTTGGTTGGCCTTGTGGATTCAGCTCCTAATGCACAGTACTTAACTGCTGCTCTGTAGGTTGGCCCTACAGACATTTCTGCTAGTCACACTGAAGAGGGTGTGCTGTGGGCTTTGGTGAGAGGAGACCAGAGGTGCTGCTAACCCTCCTGCAGTACACAGAGCATCCCGTGCAGTGGGGACGATTTGGCCCTAAATGAGAAACCCCACCTTAGAACCACTGTGCCCCAGCACAGGATTTTTCTGCAGGAGCAATTCCTTCAAGTTTCCCATTTTACCAATTTTGCCAGAATATCCCCCTCCCAAGACACAGGACCAATTAGAGTGACACACAGCAAGGGAGTTGTTCCCTCTACTCTTGCCCTAGCATCTTCCCTCTGAATTCCCTCTAGCACACGCTGCCTGGGGTAGGACAGGTTCTTTCTGTCTTTGAATTTATCCCCTGAGTGTGACTTCTGAGAACTGTGATAAGGCCATGATCAGAGGGCAGGTGACAGAGATTCCTGAGGATGTCACTGCCAATGTCTAGGTGAGCCCCAGCAGCACTAAGAAGGGGCCCCATCCACTGATGCCAGCCCCAGAAGACGCAGGTCTCTGCTTACCCACCTGCCACCCTTGTCCCATCTGTTCCGTCTGGCTCGGAAACAGGTCAGTGAGGGGGAGTGAGAGAAAAGAGACTTAGTAAGTGGCAAGGGAAAAGGAATTTAAGCTTATTTTGAGCCTGTTCTGGGCTCAGGCCTTCGCTCTATAATTAAGAGCCCCCTGTGTGCCAATGTCGTGCAAGGCTCTGGGGATCCAGTGGCAGCCAAGTCAGGCAAGGGCCCTGCCCTCACCCTGGTGGGAGCAGCAGGCACTAAGCTCAGCAAGTACACACACAGTAACTGGAGATAGTGCTTAGAGGGGAGGGAAGGGGAGCGGGGCACATAGGGGAGAGGTAGACTGCTCAGAGAAGGTAGCACATGAGTCAGAGTCTGAAGGAAGTGGAGTGGTACGTGCATGGGGCCCTGAGGTGGGACATCCTGATTGTCTCATGGATCTGCAAAAATGGAGTGGTTTTGGGGACTGATCAGACCTCACAGGGTCATGAGGCTCCTATAAGGACTTTGGCTTTTATTCCAGGTGAGAGGACATGGGCAGGCTTAAACAAAGGAGAGAGGAGCTCTGACCCGGTTGATTTTAAGGTGCCAGACTGGAAGGAGGGGTATTGACAGAGCACTGGAACTTAAACTAGGCATCTCCAAGAAGTAGGAACTGCAACAGGCTTGAAAGGTTCCAATCCTCTCAGGGCTGCCCAGCTAGGACAAAGTGGTCATCTGAAGGCCCTCTCTACTTCTCTGTCTGGGAGCTGCCAATCTGGGTCCTGCATCTTCATGTGAATTGCCTCTCATGGGTCTGACCCCAGCATTGTGAGATGAGTTTTTGAGGGGACCTCAGTCCAGAAATAATTGAGAAATTAAGATTCATGAGCCAGACAAATGGGAATAAAGATGTTTTAAAGAAATTTCAAGGTAATTTTTTACAGTGTGCTTGAGGCATAGCGATAGCATCAGTCGGAACAGCAGATGGCTTAATGGTTATGTCGCTGGACTCCCAAGTAGTTGACTGCAGTTTCAGTCCCAGACCAGGCGACTTAGAACTCACACACTGTGCGTGTGTGCGTGCCCCAAATCCCGAGAGGAGAAGGGATTGTGGCATGGCTGTTCTCCCTGGGGGGAGGGGTGATTTCTTACTTTCTATCTCTCTGGTGAGCACACATGCCTTATAGCAAAAATACCCTCCCCCACCCCCCCGAAAAAAACAAAAGCATCAGTCAGTGATGCTCTGGATTCAGGCAGCCATTAAAAGTAAAACCTCATAGTGCGGCTGGGCCCCTGGGGACCCTTCTCCAGTCACCTCTCTCTACCTCAGAGTGGGCAACTGAGTGTGGTGTTTGTCATGCCTGTTCAGCTTTCTTCTCTCCCTAGTTGTATATACTCTCTACATTCCACCCTACCCCACTCTACCCCTGGGTTCTGGGAAGTACTGCGGGAAGGGTGCTGTGTTGCTCCCTTCTAGGGTGCGAGTCCTTCTTCTTGTGGGACCATTGCACAGATGCAAGCCCTGAAGTTGTCATGTACTTGTGGCCACATGGCCTGGAAACAGCAGAGTCTGGGGTTGAAGTTCAGGACACTGGATTCCTCCTTACCATTGACAACCTTTTTAAGGAGGGAATCAAGGCAGGCCAGCCTTCCTGGGGAGGTGGAGGAGAGCCCTGGTTTGGGAGCCAGGAGGCCCGATGTTGGGTCCTCTGGGTTATCTGGACTTCCAAATCCTGGATTCTTTTGTGTGTGTGTGTGTGTGTGTGTGTGTGTGTGTGTATGTGTGTATTTAGTCAAAAAATACCAAAAAGGGGCCAGATGGTGGTGGCACAACAGGAAAATGTAATACTATGTGGTGCTTTGCAGGCCCTGTGAAGCCAGTCTGGGTTTGCATGGGGAGATCTCCCTGAGAATGCTGGATGCCCATACCAGTGAGCCAGGCTGGCTGAAGTTGGGGATGGATTGCAGTGTCAAGGCTCTGTTGGGGTGCTGTCTCTTCCTGTTTCTGCCTCTCTTGCTCATGAAAGAAATAAAATAAGCTTAAAAGAAGCCAAGAAAAAAAGTATTTCATATAATACAATATATTGGATTGTCAGAAAAGTCATGACACATTTTTGCATAGCAAAATGTGAAAAAATACATCATGACTTTTCAGACAACCCAATACAAATGACTATAAAGCAAAGCCCTATGTAACCACAGTAGAACATTGTCATTCTCAGAAATCCTCCCCCTTTCTGTTACTCTCAAATGTACCCATTCTCCTGCTGTTGGGATATTTGTTTTCTTTGATTTTCTGCTAGTTTTATAAGTGAGAAAGGCATCTATAAACAGATAGTGTAGTTTTGCCTGTTTTGACCCTGCTGTGAATGAACTCATCCTTAATGTCTTTGTGTCTCCACTCAGTACAGTGTTCTTCCCTTCATTTCTGCTGTTGGTGGAATCAGCAGTTGTGTCCTTTTGTTGAGTAGCATTCCACTGTTTGAATGTACTGGTGGGTTATATCTGTTCTCTCCTGGTGGACTCCTGCTTTGTTAACAGTTTGGGGGTCACTGTGATTACTGCTGCTGTAAAAATTCTAGTGTAGGTTTCTTGGGGCCAGGTGGTAGAAGCACAGTAAACTACAGTGCTCTGTGATGTTGATCCAAGATTGTATCCAGAGACCTCCCTGAGGACGCAGGTCATGTGTGCCTGTGATCTGGGCTGCGTGACACTGGGGAAATGAACAAATACTAATTTCTGTTAGTGGATCGTGAAATTGCTAGATCATGATGTAGATGTATATTGAACTGTAATTCTTTTTTAATGATTCTTTTTTTAAGAATTATTTTATTTAACTTTATTTATTTATTTTAATTTGACCAGAGAGACAGTGAGAGTGAGAGAGTGAGAGTGAGAGCAAGAGCAAGAGTGAGGGAAGTGAGAAAGCAAGCCACCAGGTCCAGGACTCAAACCATGGTTGGCTGCGTGGGAGTCCAGTACCCTTAACCACCACTCTACCTGCCAGCCCCATGAATTGTAATTCTTTTTTTTTTTTTTTTTAAGAATTATTTTTTCCATTTTATTTATTCATTTAGTCATTTTCATTTGACCAGAGAAAGACAGGCACACAGAGAGAAGGAAAGTGAGAAAGCAAGCCAGCCGGCAGGCCTGAGACTTGACCCTTGGTCAGCCATGTGGGAGTGTCCAGCGCCTTTACCAAAATGCCACCTGCTGACCCTGAACCGTAATTTTTTTTTTCTTTTTTTAAAAATTATTTTATTTATTTATTTATTTTTGGAGAGGTTTTTTGCCATATGGCGCATGTGCTCGCCAGACAGAGAGAGAGACAGAGAGACAGAAAGTGAGAAATCACCCCCTAGGGGGGATGGCCATGCTGCAATCCCTTCTCCTCCATTCTCCTCTCGGGATCTTGGGCACGCACGCACACGCGCCCGGCGTGAGTTTTAAGCCACCGGGTCTGGGACGAGAACCGCGGTTGACTATGTGGGAGTCCAGTGACATAGCCATTATGCTAACTGCTGGTCCCTCCTGAACTGTTAATTCTTAACTGTCGTTTTTTTACGATGTTGAGTAATTTCACCACTCCTATCAGTAGTGAATAAAAGCCCCAATCCTTCCACATCCTTGTCAGCACTGTGTGTTTTCAATTTTTGAAGTTTTAGCCATCCCGAGTATGTGTGTGTGTGTGTGTGTGTGTGTGTGTTTAAGAGTTATTTTTTATTTAACTTTATTTATTTAGACCAGAGAGGGACAGATTGAGAGTGAGGGTGAGAGCAAGAGAGAGAAAGTGAGAAAATCAGCTGCCTGGTCTGGGACTTGAACCATGGTTGACCACGTGGGAGTCCAGCACCCTTAACCACCATGCTACCTGCCGGCTCCTGTCCTAGGTATGTGGTTTTAATTTGCATTTCCCCGTAACTGATTAGATTGTATGTATTCCTTTCTTTTTTTGGGGGGTGTCCTATGAGGTGCCTTTGCTGCTTTTTTTTGGGGGGGAGAGGTTTTTGCTGTAGGGCATGTGTACTTGCCAGAAAGACAGAGACAGACAGTGAGACTGAAAGCGAGAAGTCATCTCCCAGGGGGGATGGCCACGCCGCAATCCCTTCTCCTCCATTCTCCTTTCGGGATCTTGGGCACGCACGCACACGCGCCCAACCTGAGTGTAAGCCACCAGGTCTGGGACTCGAACTGCGGTCAACTACGTGGGAGTCCAGCAGTGTAGCCATTATGCCATCTGCTGGTCCCAAGGTGCCTTTGTTTTTTTCACCTTACTTCCCAGGTAGCTTGCCTTTATTCAGTAACTGTAGCTATAGCTCAAACCCTCAGCCACCTTGGGCCTGGATACTCTAGAAAGCAGCTACTTCGCTAGAAAGCAGCAAGTAGTACCATGAGGGGCTCTCTGTCCTGGGATATGCTGCCTGCACAACAGCTGGTGTGGGCCCCCATATACTGACTGGGTCCCAAAGACAGGCCTTTGTCTTCCTGTCTGGGTGTCCTCCATTGGCAGCTCCCCAGTGAGAAGGCCATCCTCTTGGCTGTGGTGCCTGGTATTTCATCACCACAGGACTGCGTCAGAGACACCTCAGCTGAGACGCCAACCTCAGTGGGAGGACAGGCAGGATCTAGGCGGGACGTGAGGGATCTTCCAGTTCCTCCCCCTGCTTTTACCCAAGCTGCTGCTCGCTTCTTATCGCTGAAGTAAGAATGTAGAAAGTGGCTCTGGCGTGCCGAGCAGTGGCCAGGGCTTCCACCCCTTCCTGGCTGGGAGACCCAAGGTAAATGACTTCCCCTCTTTTAGCCTCTTTCCTCCCCTGGGCACCATCAGGGCCCCTCTGGTCAGGGTGGTTGGGAGTGTTCAGGACAGACTGCAGGGTATTGGTGACACCCTGCTCCAGGCCACCCACTGGCAATGGTGTTGGACCTGGGAATCCACTCTGCTACACCTGGCTGCCTTCATGTGAATCCGTTTTTTAAATTTTATTTTAAAGAATTATTTTAATTTAACTTTATTATTATTATTTAATTTGAGAGAGAGAGAGGGAAAATTTTGAAAGCAAGCTACCAGGTCTGGAACTCGAACTGCAGTCGGCCTTGTGGGAGTCTAGTGCCCTTAACTACCATGCCACCTGCCAGCCCCCATGTGAATCTTTTTTTTAAAGCATTATTTTAACTTTATTTATTATTAATATTATTTTCTAGTTTGGTCAGAGAGAGAGAGAAAGTGAGAAAGCAAGCCACCAGGTCCGGGACTTGAACCACGGTTGGCCATGTGAGTGTCAGCACCTTTAACCACTATGCTACCTGTTGGCCCCCTATGTGAATCTTTTTAACAATGGCAACCACATGCTTGGGTGTTTAATGGGCACCAGGCTAGCCCTTTGCATACAGGGGGCTTTAGTGCTGCCCACTGCCCAGTACTGCTGAGTCTGGAGGTTCTGACAGGATGTTTCTGGGTTAGGAGACCAGGAGGCAGCTGAGCTCGGATACCGGGCCTGTTCTTTTCCTTCTACATTATCCTTTCTTTTTTTTTTTTTTGGAGAGGTTTTCTCTATAGGGCGCCTGTGCTCGCCAGACAAACAGAGAGAGACATAGAGACAGAAAGCGAGAAATCACCTCCCGGGGGGGAGATGGTCTCGCCGCAATCCCTTCTCCTCCCAGGATCTTGGGCACGCACGCACACGCGCCCGGCGTGAGTTTCAAGCCACCGGGTCCGGGACGCGAACCCCGGTTGACTACGTGGGAGTCCAGCGACATAGCCATTACGCTAGCTGCTGGTTCCCTACATTATCCTTTCTTTGTACTTCGGGGCCTCCATCTCAGACCCAGGAGGTATTCTGAGCTGAACTGTCCCAGGGGAAAATGAAGTGTTGGGAAGAGAATCACTAACTCCCAACCACAGCCTTATAAAGTATTCTCCCTGGCTTCCTGCTTGCTAAGCTCTTTCCTCCCTCAGATTTCCATTAGCTCTTCCCATGTTAAATGCTTGTCTCCACTGCTCAGTCTCTAGGTTAGTCAGGTATCTGCTCATGTGTCCCTCAGACCATATGGCTAACACAGCCCCCTATTCCCTCCTATCCTGTTCCCTTACTTTACTTAGTGCCTCTCTACCACCTGACCTTACATGCACGTGTATCTGTATTTGTCCGACTCCCTGCCATAAGGTGCGCCTCATGAAGGCAAGCCTGGGTCTTGGTGATGCTCTGTCTCTGCCACTGTCTGGAACTTCGGTTGTACTTAAAAAACTTTGGTGGCATGACTAGAGTTCATAGTGTTTCCATGGTTATTTCTCGCCTAGGCCGGGTGGAGGACACTTGGGTTCATTCATTGTGTACTGGGACATCAGAGGCTGTGCTTCTTCATTGTATCAGTACTTACAAGGATGGGAAGGATTGCCCAAGGGGGCACATAGAGAGGAGTGCAGTGCAGTCTCTGAGGTTGAGAAGTCTTCTGGAGTAGACACTAGTTAGGCTGAGACCTTGGAGGAGGAGGAAAAAGAACGCCAAGAAAGTACAGGAGATGGAGGCGAGAGGGAAGGGCCTTGGTGACAGAATCCTGACAGAGGTGGGAGTGGGGAGAAGAAGCTGGAGAGGTACGGTAATCATGCCATGGTCATTAGTCTTTACGAGGCCTTTCCAGAGATTTGTCTCAGCTCATGCAGGGTCTCTTTTCAGTGGTCGAAAGGACTTTGTTCCATGTTCTGAGCACACTGAGGAGCCACAAAAGGTACTTGAGCAGGGAGGAGCGGGGTCGAGAGTAGAGGCTGGAAGTCTTGGGAGAAGGCTGGGGCTAGAGGTAGGAGTTGGAGAGAGCCATTCAGGACAGGGCTGAGTAGGGTGGCAGGTGTGCAGGGTGAGTGAGCAGAAGGCAACTGGAAGGAAGGGCAGCATAGGCTTACCTTGAAGGGCCTTGAGTATAAACCTGAGGAGTTTGACTTTTTTGCTGGGAACAGTGGGGAGCCTCAGATTTGAGGGTCCCTCTAGTTGCTGAAGGGGACAGGTCACAGAAAATGAGAGTGGAGAGTGGAGCTGAGGGAGGAGTTGGGGCAGGCCCTGCTGGACCCTAGCCAGGCTGGAGAGAGGGGTGGGAGGGGGAAGGAGTGGAAGAAGAGAGGTGCTCACATTGGAGACTGACATGTAGGCTGGTGGGATATTTAGGACCAGGGCTTCCTGTGATCCTTTGTGTTCAGGAGGTGGGGTGTTGTTAAAGTCTGCTGGCAAGGGGAGTCCTTCACTGCTGCTCTGGTCCTTGTAGCTTGGAAGGCCAGAATGTGGTTTCTCACCGACCTGTTTACTTCTCTGTCACTGTCCATCTTGTCTTTCCTCCCACTTACCTCCCTTCCTTTTGCCTGGGGCCTGGGCAGTCTGCCACTGTCACATGCCAGGCAGTGGCGTGTCCGGCCCACCAGCTCCCTGGGGCACGAGAGAAAGCTGATGCCCATGGTGTCCCTAGAGCCAGCTGCCACTTCTCTGGGGGCTGCGTAGCTCCTGACCTGCTGTCCGCAAATAACCCTGGGCTGGGAAAGGCAAAAGGCGCCTTGAGCTCCATGGCTCCTGTCCAGACCCCAGGCTCCAGGTAGGAGCCCAGCTGGCTGCCTCACGCCCTTCTCTCCTCTGCTTTGGGAACCTGAGATGAAGCAGTGACCTCGGCGTCTGTCAGTCTGTTGGCTGCTGGTCTCTGAGGACTGAAGCAGACATTTTAGGGAAGATACCAGAACCTTGGTTGAGCCCCCAGGACTGGCCTCTAGGCCCCAGACAACTAAATACAGAGTATGTTTGTATCTTGTTCAAGATCCTTAAGCGTCTGAGACCCGTCTTTTCCTCCGTTATCTTACGGGGACAAGGACAGAGCTGAAGGTGTGATGGCCCAGTGTGGGGAGTTCAGGGATGGGGGTGTTTAATTGGCTGAAGATGGTAGGTGGTGGCTCCCTGGTTTGGAAAGGAGAAAGAATGAGTGTTGAGGCAGGGGGAGGTAGCAGGCAGATGCTGCTGTGAGCCCTCCCTCAGGTGCCCAGGTCTATCTGATTCATTCCAGGTGACTTCAGCGTTGGGGCATGGGAGTAATGCAGGGGGCGGGGCCGAAGCTACCTTGATGACTGCCCAGTGGGAAGTGAAGGTGGGTGGAGGGACCACCTCCTCCCAGCATGAGTATCCTGAATGTGTCTTCTCCCAGATTGGGGTCTCTTGGGACATGGCTACATATCCCACCTGTGACTCAGGGGAGGGCTTTCTTTTGCCCTTACTGGCTTCACTTGTTCAGGCAAAGCAGCCAGACGGCCTTAGATCCTGGGTGTCCTGAGGAAAGAGGCCAGGGCTGAATCCCCTCCCCCTCTGAACTGCTTCTCCCTTGTCTTGCAGCCAGTGCTCTGTCCACGGTGCCTCCTGCATGTCCTGCTGCCCTGAGCTGTCCCAGGCTAGGTGACAGTGTGTCACGCTGCCACCATGAACGAGGTGTCTGTCATCAAAGAAGGCTGGCTGCACAAGCGCGGTAAGGGGCTGCTTTGCCTAGTAGATTGTTATCTCCCCCTCTTCTCTGGCCCTCTTATTGATGCCCTGAGAGGCAGGCAGAGATGCAGAGCGTTCACTAGCTCCATCCAGGCCAGTAACTCTTGATACTTACCTATTTCAGCAGTAGTTTGGGCAGAGGGCTGTGAATCTGCCTGGGGCCGAGCCTCCAGGCCAAACTGGATATCCGAATGAGCCACAGGCCAGGCCTTGTGCTCCGTTTCTGCAATAGTGATCTCATTCATAGTCCCGTTTCATAGATGAAAACATGGAGGCTCAGAGAGGGAAGTCACTTGATTGAAGTAACGCAGTAAGGCAACATTTAATATCCATTCATTTAGCACAGATTTGCCTGCCATGTGCGGTATGCCACGTCGTCCTAGATGCATGGAGCTTACATTTGGGTAAGCAGTAAACAAGCAGACACATTATGTCAGGTTGTAATTAGTGCTGTTATGAAAAGCAAGAGCTCCTCAAAAGGAGCAAGGGGCTGGGGAGAGAGGGCTAGAGGAGGCTGCTCTGAGGAGGTGACAGTGCACAGAACCCTGGAGGAGATGAGGCACAAGCCGAACTGATATCTGGGCAGGGGTGTTAAGCAGCAAAGACAGAGGTTCCCAGGTGGGAGTATGATAACATTTTCTAGGAGCAGCGTGTCTGGAGCAGTGAGCCAGGACAAGCTGGAAGAGGTGAGGCAGAGGGGTGACATGGGATATAACTGTGTTGGGCCTTTCAGCCATGAAAAAGACCTTGACTTTGACTGTCAAGGCTGCAGGTCACCCTGGGATATTGCCTCATCTGGTTGTACTGATGTGAAGCTGAGGCCCTGAGCGAAGTCATGGACAGGGAAGACACGATGAGGCTAGATGTTTAGCCCCAGGGCCACCTGTCCCTACAGCCAGCTGCTCTGTGATGGTGGGAGACAGGAAGAAGTGTATGCTGAGAATTGGCTTTGTCTCTGGGGAGGAAGACTGCAGGCCTGGTAGTAGCTGCTCTTTTATTTATTCGACAAACATTTCCTGGGCAGCTGCAATTGGCTGGGTACTGTTCTGGGTATTGGGGATATAGCAGTATCAAACCAAACAGTGATAGTGAACCAAACAGCCCCATCCTGGTCTTGAGATCTTCATTCTGATTGGGATGGCAGACAGCACCCTGGTAGACAGTGGTGGTATGTGCTATAGACAAAAGCCACATGATGTGAGAAAGACAAGGTGTGAGGTGGGTGGGCAGGTTCAGGGAAGCTTTCATAAACAGGGTGGTCAGGAAGGGCTTAACTGAGAAGGTGGTGTTGGAGTAATGACCTGAAGGAAGCAAGGGAGTCAGGCCCACAGTTACTGGAGCACAGGAGGATAAAGGCAGTCTTGAGAGTAGAGTGAGCAGCACATTTGAAAGGTGGCTGTTGCAGGGTGGCTGGAGTTGTGGGGCTGGCCTTGTGGGAATTGGGGAAAGTACTGGCTCATCCTGCAACCACAGAACAGTCCTGAGAGACAGAGACCACTCCCCAGGACCAGGCTTCCCATCAGACTGAGCAGAGAAAACACATTTCCTGCTGCCCTTCTCAGGGTAGACAGCACTACTGGACAACTCTATCATGGTGCTATCTGCCCTCTCAGTGCCTCAGGGCACCTTGGTCCAGTGCCCCCAGACTGAGCCTTGAGTTTGGGGCTCTCAGTGGGACTTTCTTAACCTTTGCAAATGTCAAGGTCCTAACCCTGGCTCTGCTACTTCTTGGTGTGACTGTGGGCAAGCTGTGTCACCTCCCTGAGCCTTGGTTTTTCATCTGTAATATGGGTTAATAACCCAGACCTCTGATGTTGTCAGCTCCCCGAGGACAGGGATTTTCACATGTGCTATGCTCAGTGCCTCAAAAAGTGCTTGGTCTTCAGTAGACACGTACTGACTGACTATTGGAGTGACTGGGATTGTGTGTGTGGTTAATAGGTGTATTGAGTGTATACCAAGGTCTTGGAAAAACTATACATGGGTTTCAAAATTTTTGTACCAAAATAAGCTCATATTTTAATTACATTTTCCATGAACTTTTTGAAGCCCCCTCTCTTCCCCATGTGAACAAATATACATTTGTGTAAATACCTCGTTTTCTTTTGGGTATATACCTAGAGTAGAATTCCTAGATTGTATATTCTATATTTATAACCTGCATTTATATAGGTTATGTAGATTGTGTCATATAGTCTATATTTATAATCTATAGTTTACGTCTATAGTTAAAAAAAATTTCCAGAGGGCTCATGTGCTCTCCAAGAGACAGAGAGAGGGAAAGTGAGGAAGTACCCCCTATGGGGAATTGTCACATTGTAGTCCCTGCTCCATTTCATTATCCTTTCAGGATTTTGGGCACCCATACACATGCACCCATTGTGTTTTTCAAGCCAACAGGATTTTAACTGTTTAGTAAGCCATGTGGGATCCAGCCACTTTAGCCATCAAGCCATAGGCTGGTCCTGTTTAGTTTTTTGAGAAAGCACCAAGCTTTTCCGGAGCAGCTATACTATCTTATAATCCCATCAACAACTCAGGAGGATTTCAGTTTTTCCATATCTTTGCCAACATTTGCTATTTTTTGCTTTTTGAGCATCTTTTCATGTGCTTGTTGGCCATTTGTATGTTTTTAGAGAAAAGTCAGTTTAAGTACTTTGTCCTTTTTTTTTTATTAAAGATTTTTGCCATAGGGTGTGTGCACTCACCAGAAAGGAGACAGACAGAGCGATAAGAGGGAAAGTGAGAAATCATCCCCCAAGGGGAATGGCCACATTGCAATCCCTTCTCCATTCTCCTCCTGGGATTTTGGGCATGCACACACACATGCCTGACATGATTTTCAGGTTGCCAGGTCTAGGATTCAAACCATGGTGCGCCATGTGGGAGTCTAGCTCCTTAACCACTACACCACCTGCTGACCCTGCTTTGCTTATTTATTTATTCTTTTGGAGAGTTTTTTTTTTTTTTTTTTTTTTTTTTTTTTTTTTTTTTTGCTATAGGGCACTTGCTTGAAAGACAGAAAGCAAGAAATCACCCTGTGGGGGGTGGGGGTGGCCATGCCTCAGTCCCTTCTCTTCTGTTCTCCTCCTGGGATCTTGGGCACATGTGCACATGTGTCCAGAGTGAATTTTAAGCCACTAGGTCTGGGACTCGAACCAGGGTTGGCCATATGGGAATCCAGTGATGTAACTGCTATGCCATCTGTTGGCCCTCACTTTGTTTATCTTTTAATTGGACTTACTTTTTGTTGTAGTGTTAAGATTTTTTTAAATTTTTTTTATTTTTTTGCTGTAGGGTGCATAAGCTTACTGGAGAGACGTAGAGAGACAGACAGAAAGCAAGAAATCGCCCCCTGGGGTGGGCCACATTGCAATCCCTTCTCTGTTCTCTTGGGATTTGGGGCATGTACACACGTGCTACTGGGTCTGGGATTCAAACTGTGTTTCAACTACATGGGAGTCCAGCGATGTAACCATTATGCCATCTGCTGGTCCAAAAAGTTCT